GAGAGAGAGAGAGAGAGAGAGCGAGACGAGACGAAGAGAGAGAGAGAGGCGCGATCGAAGACAAGCGAGATTAAAAGAAGCTGCTAGAGAGGGACGGCGTGGAGACACACAAGATGAAAAATAGTGAAACGTACAGAGAATCAGATCCAGCCGCATCATTGTATAATCTACACGATACATTCGTACACTTCCTACTCGTCCTCAGAAAAAGCGAAGGTGGAGCTTTTCAAGAAGACGACAGAAGGGGCGGATGCGCTGCCGGAGGCGCCCGCTGCGGCCGAGCACCTGTCGTTAAGGACAGCAGATGGTTGGCTGTACAGCGAAGCGCTCGCGCAGGACAGGGTGGTGTTTTCCTCAAGTAGCGGTTTTGCTGGAGATTCACGATGGCGAGAGCAGAGAGGAAGGAGCAAAGAGAGTGTGTAAGAGAGAGGGAGAGAGAGCAGAGAGTGAGAGTGAGTGAGAGTGGGGAGAGAGAGAGGAAGAGAGAGAGACAAAGCGGAGAGAGAGAGAGATGGGACAGACGAGAGAGAGTGAGAGAGAGCGCCCTGGAGAGAGAGAAGGGAGGGGGGCGAGGGGAGAGATAGAGCGCGAGCTGAGAGAGATGAGAAGAGAGAGAGAGAGAGAGAGAGAGAGAGAGAGAGAGAGCGAGAGCGAGAGAGTAAGAGAGAGCGAGAGTAAGTGAGAGAGAGAGAGCACGAGCTAGAACGAAAGAGAGAGGGAAGAGTGCGTGTGTGTGCCCGCATGCGTGCACGTGTGCTGAGGCAACCGAGAAACAAGTTATCGATGTTAACTCGCATCCTTAACGAAGTTTTTGACTTTTGTTCTCCCAGGAAAAGGAAGAGATCGTCAAATCGATCGAGATAGACGAGAAGCAGTTCAGTATCGATTCGTCGGAGACGGAATACAAGCACATACCGGAGGAGCTACGTAAATCTGGCAACACTGCTTCCTAGCATTGTTGTTGCTAAGCACCGTCTGAGCGTGTCGGCCATCTTGGGTTGACAATCGTTTCGTTTGTGACTAGTGTGTGAACGAACGACGTAGGGTTCCGTGTATACATTGTAAAATGTAAAAGTCATCCGAGTTTTCCTCTGTAACCATACCAATACTTACAATACGGATAATGCTGACAGAGACAGTGTAACCTCAGTCTACGCATGTAATGTTGGTGCAACTAATGTTTACTTCATGCATGAACACCGGTTTTGTCATTTGTGGTCGCATTTTCATTTTTTCCAGTACAGGTAGGTCCCGTTTTACGATGGTCCATTTTTATGACTTCACATTAACGACCTTTTCAAGATTACCTAAAAATTGTAAATGACAAAAATAATCGATCACAACTCAATAATACATCGCAGCTATGCCTGTGAGTCCAACGCAATATGCGCTTCTTTTGTTTTTCCTGGTGCATTGTGGGTGGAATGATAGCATTTAATTGCATTATAATTTGATCTTGTTTTACGACTTTTCATTTTACGACCCTGTTTTACTGGAACCTAACCCTGTCGTAAAACGGGACCTGCCTGTATTTCCAACAGGGGAATAATAAATATGTTCCACATACCTTCTTGGTTTCTGATTTTGTCTTTGCTATAGGCTCTACTTTATGAATAGGCACTGTCTGGTTGCAATATAACATGATATATCTAACTTTAAATTGACTACGTCACGAATTTTCTGTGGTAAAATTTGTAAAATTTTTGTTGCCATTTTTTGACATTAAAAGTAAGAACTAATAATGGGACTAAACATATTGTCAAATTCTTACCTGATAAGATTGTTTCTCAACTAGTTAAAAATCCAAAAAACCTGGACGATTTGATATTGTGTTCCTGACATTAATTGCTTGCTATGGGCTATGTATGAGTCACGAGTGTATGTTCACATCGAACAATATAGTAAAATAGGAAGTATAATCAAAGAGCTTAGAATGATAAGAGGTGACACTCGCCA